AAATTGAAAGAAAAAAACCTTTGGAAAATATGAAATATGATCTTTTAGTCGCAAATCGATATCATACCGTAAGAAATTTAGGGATGTCTGCATAGATATCAAAATTTAAGAATAGATATATCCACAGACTGCCTATCTCACAAGTAAAAATTCGTTTAGCAATAACTTCTTCGTGCAGATCTGTAGTAACAATACTAAATGAATAAATTAGAACGATTCATTCATAAATTAGAACGTTTCATCTGCTTCTTTTTCCTCTGTTTGCTGAACGATGTAATGAGTTAATTTGTACTAAAATGTTTAAAATTGAGTATTATTCTGAGAATAAATTTATGACTAAAGAAAATCGTAACTCCCGCCGACCTCCCAAAAAATTATAAATCAACGCTTGGATCAAGAATGAATAAGAAAATTTCAGACGAGCTGAGAAACTGCAGAAGATGATTTTCGTAAAAATCGACCATTGGAGGCATTGTCGTCAGGAAGTACTGCTCACGTGTATAGAGGGAAATATTGAGTGACAGGGATATTAAAACTCTAGGAGTCGGATTCACATCCTTTTTAAAGAAATGTTTTTTCTTCATTGGCCTCCTTACATTTTTCTCTATAATATGCAGTATACAAAATTATCATAATACAAAGAATTGCACATAAAAAATTAAATATAAAAATTAGAATTAAGAATAAAAGGAAAGATTTTGGAAAAATGGTTTATTAGATTTGTGTTTAATTATTAGCCTAAAAAAGATTATTAGTCTCAAAAATGGGATTTTGCGTCGTTTCATTATAAACAGATTATCATATTTCAGATTGTTGCCTTAAATATTATTGGCTTACATTACCATTTTAAAAAATTAAATAAGGCAGAATTTGTATGTACACATACATGTGTCCTCGCACTGTGAAAAAACCACGGTTCTCAGAGCCATCAAGTTCTGAATAACGCAGCCCTCCACTCGAATATATGCATCTGGAAATCCGAATTTTGAGTTTCGAATATGTTTTATCATTCATTTCGCATTTTGTAAAACAATTTATTTTTTATTATTAACAAACACTAACGATTTGAAAGTGAGGAGTGACAACACTTTACGGAATAAAACAATTTTATCTCCAACACGCGAGACTGTCTATCGGGAATTCTAAAGCCATGCTGTTTTTAAGTATTTTATGATTTTGTTGTTGAATTTTAAGTTACTTGTAATAAGCGCGAAGAAAGTGGTATTTAATAAATAAAGTTAACACATAAAAAGTTTATTATATAAAGACAAAAAAAATTATTACCATCTTACTAAGAAAACTGTAATGTAATGAACTGAGAAAAAACTGAAAAAAATATTAAAGTGTATATCAACACTTAACAGTGCACCGGGAATTCTAAACATAAGCTGCCATGCAGTTTTTAAATATTTTGTGGTTTTATGTTGAAAATGTTATAAGGCATTTCTCCCGTCTTCTTAGCATGCCTTCGTAGTGTAATGGTCAGCACGCTCGGCGCGTATTCGAGAGGCCCGTGGTTCGAGTCCCAACGAAGGCGTTGCTCATTTTTCATCTTTCCTGCTTCGAAATAACGTAATGTCTATGCAATGTATACGGCGTAAGGGCGAAGGGAACGATGCTTAATAATAAAGCTAAAGAGAGGAAAAAAAAAAAGTGGGTTGCGAGAGTGCGTGCAAGAGCAGACAAGTCGACTACGAACCCAGCAAGAGCGTAGAAAATACCTTGCAAATCCGTCTGGGGATGTTAAATGTGAAATCTTTCAGATTTTTTTAAATACATATACATATATAGATATTATATATATATATATTTAGACTTCCTTGTAACACTATGTTATGCGCTGGCTGTGGAATGAATAATAATAAACCTTAATATCAGTTGTGGAATCCTCTAAAGGTTGAGAACAACCCAAATGTATCTATTTGAAAACTTATATTTTAAACTTGTATATTTTTTGCAAAATTTATTCCATTACTATCAGCAACGTCTGTATATTTATTCGAGAGTTAAAAAGTTTACTCTTATTGCCTTTGTAACCCAGTGTACCATCTGAATCACTGTGCCACGTAATTTATGGTAATTATCTTGAAAGTTCTGGCCAGGAGGGAGCTTGGAGCTAAGAGAATGATCTCTAAACTCATTCGGCATCAACAGCCAGAAAGATACACACCATTGACTGAGAGGACAAAAGACACATATCCATTAATCAATCATAATTCCAACTGAAATGACGTGTTTTATTTCCGTAGTAGTACTTTTAAGATCTGCTAGAAAAAAGTTCACCCCTTTAAAGAAGCCGTATTGGTGAAATGAGAGAAAGATTGGAATTTCATTTAACCGACGTCAGGCCCTGTCACCTGTTGTGGTGGTAACCGGCTTTTTTCCTCCCTTCAGGAGTAGAGAGCGAAATTCAGTCACAGGAACAGATCTCTATTTGGAAGTCAGGAGCGCAACGGATGATAAACGGTTAGACTGGCAAATGAGCCTTGGAATGCTTGGCTACTGGGAAAGAAGGGTAGTTGGTTTCAATCAAGTAGGATAAGTTAACTTTGCAGCAAGTATCAAACTTTCCACGGCGTGTCTTATGGTCAAATCAATGCATTATGTATGTGCTCTGGTAATTTAGATCGCGAACCTCGACAGGCGCATTGCCGTGCACAAAAACTTTCCGCCATCAAAAATAGTTTTGCTTTCCAAAGTCGACAGCCCACAGAATTCCAATATTTAGCATTTTCCCGCCCATTCGCACACGCGGAAAATGAGATTAAATGGTTTGACTTTTTCTATATAGGTGAATGAGTAGGAGCTGATAATATACATATTTGGAATTATAATATGTAAAGGAAATATCATTTCTCCTTTCAGCCTGGTGTTTTCATCAAAGATTATTCTTATAAAAAAGAAAAATGATCAAAATTCAAAACACACTTGTTTGGAAAACTATAATAATAAATGTATTTTTCATTTGCCGCGACTTCCCGTTCCCATTTGAAGAATATCACTTGATTTTCAGTATTCTGCGGGTAAATCTCCATGTTAACGGGCAAAAATATGGATCAAATTCTTAGAATGTTCCCAACGCCACACAATTTGCTCATTTTGCTTAGCCAGTGGTAAATCCGCAAGGTTTGATTTAATTGGGGAATTTGTGAAAGTATTTAAAAACGAAAGGGTGTTTTACCCGAAGGAAGATTGAAATCATATGTTCGCGTTTTGTGTGAACCCGCCGAAGACAGAACGCATTCGAGTCTCGCGACTAGGGGACGTATGTTGGGAAGCACAACGCAATCATAACTATAATTACTTATGTTTGTGAAGCCAATGGTACTCATGTTGCAACAATTTTAAGGGAAAATTATTATAACTTACAAGTATCAAAGCTTTCCACCGCTTTTTTATTCGTGTTATAAAACGATGAATTTTGGAAAAGAAGGAAATTCCGTCTCCCCATTAACTACACATGATTTTTCTCTCATCTGGTTAATTAATGATTTTCTCAGTTTGAATTAAGAGCTTTTCAATAAAATAATCTCTTTTTTTTTCTTATTATTATTTTGATCTTGTATCGCATTACGCGTTATCATTAATTACTCACTGGAAATTTTTCAACAAAAATGCATTTTTTATTCCAACGCCTCTTAAGTCAAATGGTCTAAAAATTCTAGCGATTTTACCAAAAAATCAGAAATTGCATTAAATCTTTATGGAAATTCCAAAGATTTTCCTGCTCTCCGAGTGTAAACAGTAAAATTCTAAGAGTTTTGCTCATCAAACGAAACTATGAGCGAGAAAACATCTCAGCATCGCTGACAGCATTGTGTTATCATCTGCAATAAGGGTGCTTTCAAATTAGCTTCTCAAAATCGATGGCAAAGTTTTAATTGTATTCACAAACACCAGGAGAGAGTTAAATAAAAACGAATAAAAATACAGCTGGTTTTAACATAATTTGAAATGGAGCGTAATTTATCAGTCATTCTTGTTTTAAAAGAGAGCGAAGAATACGTTTTCTACCCTTTGAAAATTTCAAAGCTTTATAGCAGGTACATTTTTGGATGTCAGAATATAATACTACAACCGCATAAAGTCGGAAAGCAATTGAAAATGACTTTACAAAATATAAATAAATTATAAATTAAAAAAAAAGGCCCGAGCGCCGTCAAATACGGATAACGCTAATTACTTGATGTAGTAAAGAATAATGTGGGACGTAATAAAGCATAATCTGAGCTAAAGCACCGCTCTTTGTTTCATAAAGTGCAAATTTTTTAAAATCGTACAAAATGCCTAATTAATATTCTTTTTATAAAACAATACGTACCTGTGCGATTGTAAAGTGAACTCAACACGTCCTCGTTTTAAACATGAACTTATATAAATAATGCACAATAGTCTAACAAAAAACATATAACACTTATAAGTACGAGACAGAACAAATAGTGAATAAAGACAGCATAGCAGTGCCTTGCGATGCGTCTTGGTCTGATCTATTCACTGATTAAATGTTCTTTGGCATAGTTCCAAAACCGAAAGAGTGAGGTTGAGTTGTTCTGTTCCGGCGCTCCGGAACATACTCCCACCCTATCAGGCATAGTCCTGTCATATGGGCAAAGGGCTGAATTTATCTGTTTCTTTTAAAATAGGCTTTAGTTTTAACCGTGGCCACACGAATAGTCCGTCGCACCATGATGAAGTTCGACCACTTGCTAGTCCAAGAACGGATATCTCGATACAGGACGCTGCTCCAGTTTTCATAGCGGCGATGTTCCCTTTCTTTCTGGTTTGAAGAGAAGATAATATGCTTTGGTCCTGATTTGCAGAGTCCTTGCGTATCTTTTGAAGGAATCCCCTATTCCGTATATTAGCGACTTAGAGTATTGTAATAATTTTCGGAGTGGGAATAGTTAATGCCAATGTCAGTATGTTTACACTACAAATAAAACGGCTTTATCTTCTATCTGAGCCATAGAGTTGTCAATTCTTCGAAAGTAAGTAGCGTTTCACCTTACTCTTTTACAGTGATATTTGGTTGATTTAATTGCGGCCTCCCAAATTCCTCCGAAATGAGGAGATGCTGGAGGTATAAAGTGCCATTCTATTGATGCTTGAGTTAAATGATGAGCAACGGCTTCGTTCTTAGGAAGTGAAGCCCACAATCGTTGTATTTCGCTGAGCTTTCGATTAGCCCCAACGAAGTTTGTTGCATTGTCGCTGTAAATGTGACTTGGAGCTCCTCGTCTAGCACTGAAGCGACGCAAAGCAGCTAAAAATGCATCAGCGGTTAAATCGCTCACTGCCTCGATGTGTAGTGCCTTAGTAGCGAGACAAATAAATAGAGCAATGTAACCCTTGGTTGATTTTGCTCCACGACCCTTGTTGAATTTGATTGAAATAGGACCGGCATAGTCCACTCCGCAGTTGAAGAAAGGCCTCTCGAGTGTTACACGATGCTTAGGTAGATTACCCATAAGCTGAGATGCGGTGGATGCTTTAAATTTGAAGCATTTGATGCATTTGTGAACACATTTATTAATGAGCTTTTTTCCACCTATTGATCCAATATGATTGTTTGATAATGTGGGACAGTAATGAAGCACCAGCATGTAAATAAGTCACATGCTTTTCTTTTACGATGAGCTCACTTATCTTGTGTTTAGCAGGTAGAATCACTGGGTGCTTTTGATTAAAAGACAATTCTGAATTTTGTAAACGCCCTCCCACCCGTAAAGACTGTTTTCATCTATAAACGGATGGAGGGAGTGTAGCTGACTTTTCTTAGGCAACGATCTTTGATTTTTAATGCATTTTAGGTCTTCATTAAAATAATCTTTCTGAACCCATCGAATTATGATTATTTCTGCATTTTTAGTTTCCGTGTAAGTGAGTGGAGAAAAGGAATCAGTTATAAGTGTTTGACATTTGTTATTGGTTTTGCACTTATTGATGAATCTTAAACAATATGCTAAAATGCGTATAATCTTAGAAAATGATGAATATTTTTCAAATAAATCACTATATAATTCATTTGATGTAGCACTATGAAATGAAAATATAGGATCAGATCTTTGTTCAGCTTTAATTAGATCCTCGATTTCTTTGGAAGCGGATTCCTCTTTTGGCCAGTGAGACGAATCCAAAAAAAGCCAACTTGGGCCATTCCACCACAAGTTGCAATTAGGAAGACATTTGGGATCAATACCACGCGAAGCGATATCTGCTGGGTTCTCTTTGGAAGGGACATGCCTCCAGTATTTTGTTGGAAGTACTTCGATTATTTGAGACGTCCGGTTTGCAACAAAAGTCTTCCATTTACGGGGATGTGCCGAAGCCAGGAAAGTACGACTTTGGAGTCAGTCCAAGCGTAAACATCAAACTTATATTTTTTGAGAGTGTTCATGACTGCACGATATAACTTTGAAAGCAAATGAGCACTGCATAGTTCCAATTTAGGAACAGATACTTGTTTGATAGGTGCGACTTTAGTTTTAGAAACTAAGAGAGAAACCTTTATTTCATTTCCGTGTATTTGTTTGCAATATATTGCAGCAGCGTAAGCAAGTGTTGAACGCGTCGCAAAAGCCGTGCAATTCAAATGTGTCAGAGGAAATAAGCGTGACACCTCTAGGAACGGTAAAATGTTCAACTGCATTGAAAGATTTCTGAAATTTAAACAAATCTTCAGCAAGACTTTGTGGAATAGGAGAATCCCAGTCCCCTTTTGTAAGCCAGAGCTTCTGATAAAAAATTTTCATTACAACAGTACATGGTGAAATTAATCCTAATGGATCGAAAATGCGTGCCGATTGGGACAAAATGTGTCTTTTTGTCAGCGGTGAGGTGAGTGCAAGTGCGGGTTTGAAAATGAATGTGTCTGTTGAAGAGTTCCAAAATAATCCTAAGACTTTCGTGCTTTCCTTATCATTAGGAATTATTTCTAAATTAGTGTCCGTTGAACAATGTTCTTGAAATTTTCTGCAAGAAATGCATTTGAATTAGAATTCCACTTTCGTAGGTGGAAACCGTGTGTTTGTAAAATATTGGTAATTTCCTTACAAAGTGATATTGCATCACTATCGGTACTTGAACCCGATAGCAAATCATCCATGTATACATCGTGTAGTAAAGTATGAGAACACAGCAACTATTTTGTGAATAATCTAGTGCAATTTGCTTAATGCACCTAGTGGCTAGGAAAGAAGCTGGAGCTAAACCATATGTTACGGTGTTTAACTTGTATGTGCGTATTTCTTCGTTAGGATTAAACCTCCAAAGAATTTGTTGGTAGTTCCGATCCTCATCGGACACTAAAACTTGACGGTACATTTTCTCTATGTCTGCTGAAAAGACTATTTCCGGAAATCGAAAATTAAGTAAAATTTCGAAAATGTCTCGTTGCAATTTAGGACCAACACCCAAGATAGAATTCAATGATTTACCGTTGGAAGTTTTACATGAAGCGTCGAAAACGACTCTTAATTTAGTAGTTGTACTAGACGGCTTGATCACTGCATGATGGGGAAGGAAATATTGCTCATTCTGAAATCTATTTAAACCATTTTGTGTAACCAATTCCATATGACCTAAATTTTCATATTCATGCATAAAATCCTTGTATTGGGTTTCAAATTCCGAGTTTTCCTTAAATTTACGTTCCATAGCATATAATCGAGAAAGTGCAGCTGGTTTTGAATTACCTAATTCAGATTTAGATTTTAAAAATGGCAACTTCACCACAAAACGACCATCTGAATTAATTGAGTAATTTTCCCGAAAATGTGTTTCAACAAATTGTTCTTCAGGTGAGAATACAGTGTCAGTTGAATTTGGTACTTCTTCTAACTCCCAAAACCTTTTCAATTCGCTGTCAATATTATTTCATAAATATGCAATGTTTGAAAGTGAATTTGATTTCGTTTGAGATTCCGGTAGTTTTCCGGATATGAGGAAACCAAAAATTGAGTTTTGAGCAATTAAATCACTTTGAGAACAAGTTATTTGTCCAGGAAGTAAAAATAGAAAACAAGTAGTCAGATCCTAGAATAATATCTATCTTATCCGGAATGTGAAAATATGGATCAGCTAACTTTACATTTTTCAAATGCGAAAAGTCTTTCTCATTTATTTTTTGGCTTGGAAGCGCAGCAGTTAGTTTATCTAATACAAATGCCTTAATTGGCATTCTCACTGATGCATCATGGATTGACATCAACTCGATTTCAACACAACCTTTTGTAACTGCGACTTCTGACTCAGCTAAACCCTTGACAGGAAAACGCGCATTTTTTCTTTTAAATCCCAATAAATTAATACAAGATTCAGATAATAATGTTGATTCGGAACCACTATCACAAAGCATTCTAATATTACGTTTTTGACCCATCGAATCAATTACATTTACATATGCAGTTGGCAATAAGCCAAAAGTTGTTTGAACGCTATTATTTTGAATTACAGTTCCGTTTTTGTTTTCATTCGTAGACGCAATGTTTGGTATTTCATTCGCGGTTGGATTCTTTCTTTGCTGTTCTGACTGAAAACTGGTCTCAGAAAGAGACGCAGATGTTGAATAACTTTTTAACTGATTTTCACACAGAGTACTATGATGCAATAACTGGCAATAATGACAACGATGTGGAGACATACATTCAGATTTTTTGTGCTGACTAGAAAAACAATTTAAAACAAAGATTATTTTTCCTGACAAATTGATTTCTTTCTTTGACAGTTGCTTTAAATTTGGGGCATTTGAACAGAAAATGATCTGATTACACAATACATTTGATACTTTTGTTCACAGAAAATCTTTTAACACTAGGTTGAGTTTTTTCCCTTTTCTTTTTCGTGGAAAATTTCTAACGAGGAACATTCTATCATTTATAAATTGAATAAACATTTCAAAGTAGGAAATTCCACTTTTGCTGAAAATTCAGACCATTGTTTACATGTTTCGTTGTCAACCTTCTGTAATAAAATATTAAATTAGCCAGACATCCCTTTCACTAGCTTGGATCAATAGATTTTAACACCTCTGATAATTTCATCAGATGTATCGGCAATTTTTCGCAAATTAATTGAGTTTGCATTAATCACACAAGATTGTTCCATGAAAGTTTGTTTTATTAGTGATGTGACAGTTGTTTTTTTTTATCATACCTAGATAATTTTCCCCAGGCTTCCATATACTATTTTCTGAAATGGGAAATTTATTTATAACAGAAGCCGGTTCATCAGTTAATAAACCTTTAGGTATTGAAAATTTTGAATGTTACTTAAATTTTCATTGTTATGCACTAATGATACATTATAAGTCCTTGAAGACATCCGATCATTCTGTATATTACCGTTGAAGGATTGCATATTTATTCTCGGTAATTTAAATTATTTTAGCAGTATTTGGAGTACTATAACCTGGCATTTGACGTTCATTAACATTAGTAACTTGCATATTAACAGTAACATTTAATTTCTCAATTCTCTTCCATTTCAGAACTTTTCCGGCGGAGTTCTGAGTCTGCCTTGGTCAAAATCAGAATAAAACGCTTTCAATTTTTTGAAGTTTATTCATTTTAAATCGTTATTTTTCGAATAACTGCTTATCATCATTAATGAAATTTGAAATTCTGGTAAGAGCTTTGCGCTCGCTCTACCCTACTTTTTGCAACCTAACCTGTCTTCCTTACGACGTAATGGTGCAATGAGGAAAACCAAAGTCAAACTTGTAAAAAGGGAAAAAAATACTTATCTTGCTGGTCTTTAAATGAAGTTCGAAGCTAAAGTATCCAGTAGTATCCATTACTGTACCGAATGCCGTGTTGCAGTGCTGCTGAAACCGAAATTTCGTCCGGTGCCTCCAAATATATGTTGCGATGTAAAGTGAAGGAACTCAAACACGTCCTCGTTTTAAACATGAAATATATTAAATAACTGCACAATTCAAGTATAAACAAGAAAATAACATTAAAACTTATAAGTACGAGAAAACAGACAAAATAGTGAATAATAGACAGCATAGCAGCTGCCTTGCGAATGCGTTCGTCTGAGTCTGACTATTCAACTGAATTAAATGTTCTTTGGCATAGTTCCAAAACCGAAAGAGTGAGGTTGAGTTGTTCTGTTCCGGCGCACCGGAACACGTACCAAATTGCCTAGTTAATATTCTTTTATCATTCTTGTTTTATAACCTGTAAAAATTTCAAAACTTACTAAACGATGCACTTTTCGAAAACTGAAATTTTAAGATTATCACGTCAAATAGCCCCACTCTATCCAACGGTGCAAACTGGAAAATTTTAAGATTTTTAGTCTGTTCGTTAAACGAAGGTATGAGAAAAAATTCGCTTCAGTATTAAATTTTAAAAAAATCTGATGCGTGTTTTGAAAAATACCTCTTCAAGTCATTGTATCTTCATCCGCAAACAATGCGTATACAACTTTTGAAATCAATATTTTATTATGAAACAGTTTAAAA